TTGTATGCAGGCTCTCAAAAGCCAAAAAGTTAAAGTGAATAATCCAACAGTGATATGTTTTTTGCTTTTGCACTGAAATTGTGACTCTTGCAAATGTTTTCAAGCTTAAAACTAAGCCTTTATAATCTTTTGCTGACATATATTTAGCAATGGTCTGTTAACATCAATGTATATCTAAAGGAAAATGGAGTAAAATGGTGCATTTCCATGAAAGCAACATCTGATCATGGAGTAAATACATCCCAAAATACATAAAACTCATGCTAGATTAAAAAAAAAAGCATTGTGAACAAAAACTGGAAGTTACTCCCAACTGTTCGGCCTGTAATGGCCTTGCTTCTAAACTTTTGGCCTGTAGTGTAGGTGTAAGTGTGTGTGTGTGCATGTGGGTGTGTTAAAACATTGGACAGCACTTGCCCACTGCCCTGGAAGAATGACAGCCAAAAAGAGCCAGCATTTATTCCTCGACTGGTTTCCCCCTAAAAGAAAGAAAAGAAAAACTAAATAAGACTGAACATCATTTCCAAAGTACTTGACTCCGCAGAAAAAAACTGCCTAGACAGTATATCAGCTGACTTCTCTCGACACACACACACACACACACACACACACACACACACACACACATACACACACAGGTACAAACATACACTTCAAATTCATTGTTGACCCCCACTATCCTCTTAATACTGTAAATGTTTAACAACTTGCTCTGTCAGCGTAAGTGCTGGACACTCAGGTGTTTACATTTAGGCGAAGCATATGGCAGTGAACCCTGCATGGTCGTCTATCAGAAAGTAAGTGCATTCATAAACATACTAATTAGACTGTACTTAATGGTTCTGTAGTTCACAGATCATTAAGAAAGAGTAAACCAACACATTAGGCTCTGATTAGCTTGGCCCTGTTAATACTGTGTCATCACTGTGCTTCATTTATCATCACACTCAACATAATATTGATCAGGGTTAGTCACCTGTAACAGTAATGAACTGCTAATAACATTAACATCCCAAATTACAATTGGATTCTGTGGCTCTTAATGATGTGTTTGTAATTTTTGAAATCTTCAGATGAAGTTTCAAACTTGAATCTGGCTGTAAAAGTTTGCTTCTTGTTTTGAGTATCTGTCATTAAAGAGAAAATACACAAGTGTTAAATGCTGTTGGAATGAGCTAGCATCTGTCACGTGGTTTGGTTTCACAGTAAAAAAATACTGGATGCTCTCATTTGACTTGTGAAATTCCCTTTTCCAGTTCCCTTCTACTGCCTTTAGGGTCGACCAAAGTGCAATATTGCCACATATACTGAATGCATATGTGAAATGTGTGTCAGTGTTTCTCTGATTAATGTGTCTATGCATGTGTGGGGCAGAGATTCAGCTCTGCATTAGACAAAAGACAGACTTTAGCGAGAACTGAAGCATAATGAACAAGAAGGAAGGGGAGAGAATGTGTGCAAAAGGGGTCTTCAAGGTAAGTACCAGTCTATATCAAACAAAGACTTAAAGTAGAACTATAGAGAGCAAACAGTCTATAAGATTGATGTAGAGCTAGAGCAAATATTAGATTCCTCCTGAGGCATGACAAATGAATCCTGTGTACTGACAGTACGATGCGGAACAAAGCTAATGTTAAGAAAACATGTCTTTTTTTGCAGGGTGAGCAATATACAAGTAAAGAATCTTGATGCAAGTCTAAAGACAAATGGAAAGTTTGTCTACTTCACTTTGATTCACTGAATGTGTGAACATTAAACACCTCGTGTCTAATGAACTTGGCCTGGCCACATACAAGATGATTTAATGTTCAATTTAAGGCCTGATTTGCAACACTAGGACTGGAGTTATTCATCATGCATGTGGTGTCTCTATAACTACAGTACTGCCCTTGGCCAAGTCAAAACAATATTAATATCAGACAGTAAATATTAAACAGAACAGTTATGAGTGCAGGCCAGTCTGCCTCTCATGAAATTCATCACCAGTAACTTTAAGCGTGTGGTCTCATGAAATCATTAAGAGTGAGTGTTCAGAGGATTGCAGTAATAAAGATTGATCAGGCCTGACCTCTCCTAAAGTCTTCAAATCTGCTGATACCCAAACGTTGTCTAGTATGTGGCACAAGTTATTCTCATAACAAGCTAAGAAATCATGATGGTTTGATTATGAGAGGATAAATCTTTCAAAAACAAAAAAGAAATGAGTCTCTGCTTGTCACAGAAATGATTCACTCTGACAGTGAGAGTTTGGGTTATTGCCCTGAAATAAAATTGTCTGCGTGAACAGAGAAAATCTGCATCTAATAAAGGACATAGTGAATTTTGATTTTAACAACTACAAAATAAAACAGTTAAACTGACAAAATTACTGTAGCTCACTGTAACTATTATTCTGCTGACATACACCTTTAAGCTGATTTATTTGTTTTACACTAAAAAGAGTTTTGATGAGCAGCCTGCTGTGCTGCTCGCAGCTGCAACAAACTCTAATTCCAAAATTCCAGACATGTAGATGTTGGCTGCCTCTCAGACAATTTGTGGAAGCAACATTTCTAAGTTTAAAGGTTTTAGTGATGTTTTATTTGTTGGTTTTTGCACCAAAAGCTTAATGTGAATACTGAAATTAAAAAATACTAATAATAATAGTTGAGTTACAACATAAAAGTTCTTATTGGAATAAATTATACCTGTAAGCAGAGTTGTCATCAAGCGAAAACGCACAGCACAGAATGTGATGATGCTGAAGTTTGACTTTCTCAAACTCGGCAGAAAGAGGGTTCTTCACAGCATTGTGATGGGTAAGAAAGTATTAACATTGAGCTGCCCCTTCTAAGTGCTATGCTGACTCGTTACTGTATGTGTGTCCAAGCCCACATACGTGTGTGTGGGAGTCTGCAAAACTCGACTGATAGCCCTCATCAGACTGCTTCCTTTGAAATAAATCAGAAAAGGTTCGACACTTTGTTTGAGAGTATTTTCTCTAAAATACAGGGAGTCCCCTCATTCACATTTTGTGTGTACTGTTGCTTCTTCAGGTTCAGTTTCTCATGCCAGTGCTTGTGAATGCAGCACTGCAGCAGCTCAACAAAAATATACAGAGCAGACTGTATACATTCAATCTTTTGTTTTCCACCCTGACTCACACCACAGGCATGACTCCTCTGACTTGGTGTTCACAATCTGAACTGACCTCAGTTGAGCTTTTGAGGGCATTTCCATTGTAAACTGCTTATTACTTTTCATGAGGAGGAATCAAACCAAAGATGTTCTTCCTTGAATTTGAGAGTTGGAGATGCCTTCAAACCGAGGGAGAGATTATCGTTTATGAAGACTGCAGATAGGAGAAAAATAAGTAATGGAGAGAATAAAAACTACAGTGCCTGAACAAGACTAAACAACTAGATACTAAAACTAGACAGCCCTGATGCATAGTGACACACAGTTTAGAGATCAGAGTAAACAAGAAAATGAAAATGTCTTCCTAGAGTTTAATCAGAGCTCTAAAATCACCTCTTTTTTTTCATGATATGACTTTTACTCACATTTAATTTGAAGACTATTTATGATGACTATGTCTTTTATTTATCTTGTTATATTTATTTGTCTTCCTCCCTTTGTTGAGTTAATTGAAAAAAGCCATAATAAGAGTGTATATGCTGCCAAAGAGGGTTCTTGAAGTATTTGTGTGTTATAAGGGTATTAAGGGTTGTCCTGTTGTCGAGCACTGTGCTGATTTACATACATGTATACCTGATCTGTATACCACCCCAATTCTGAAAAGGTAAAGTGCATTGTAAAACGTTGATCAAAGCAGAGTTTCATGGTTAATAAGTCCTCCAGGCCTTATTTCTAATTGAAATTCAACTGTTTTAAAAAGGAAATATTTGTTTCAAATTTGATGCCAGCAATATTTTTCAAAAAAACTGGAACAGTGTCACTTTTACCACTGTGTGGCATCTCCTCTTTAAAATACAATAGTTAAAAAAAGGGTAAATGATGCAAAAATGCCAAATGTATCTAATGTTGGTCAGCTGGGACTGCAGGCATGCCATCTTAGTACCTCTTAGCAACCCTGCTGTTTTAAAACCCGTAGAGAGTGGTTTCAGTATTGTCTTGCTGAAAAGTGCAAGGTCTTTCCTGTTGTTGGCATTAGATTATTTTTAAGGCCTGTGTTTATCGTCTTGCTATCCATGCCATGGGCTTTTATGCAACCCCATACCACCACACGTTCTGTCTTTTGTATAGTGCTCAAATGAACAAGGTTGACAAGGTGTCCTCTTCGATTGGCTCAGGTTAATTTAAGATGCTTCTCTGCACATTTAAAAAAAAAAAAGTATGATTAGGTGTTCAGCTAATTCACATTCCCTGTAAATAATCTGAACTGATGGGGCTGATATTTTCTGACTGCAATGCCTCCATCCTCCATGTTCAGGTGTAGTGAGGGAGACATGAAGGTAACTGAAGTTTGTTATCAGATTTGATGTGGATATAAGCTTTTATTAAATAGCCAAAGTTTTTTCTCTTCAAAATTTCAAAGCCCCGCCGTTGTCTATTTCTCTGTTTCATCTCCCACATGTGCTTTCGCCGAGGTTTTGATGTGTGCTTGACGAGTTCCAGAATCTGAACAATCAGAACAAATATTCATGGTAATTTTCTCTGACTCTGTGATTATGTGCATAAACTTCACAATGCCTGATTAAATTGCATTTCAATCATGTTCTCTTGATTTATGTGAGCCATTATCAAGTTCACGTCTTCCCTCCTCTAAACAATGAAATCCAAAAATCTGTAGACAGATTATGCTAAATCCAGAGGATGGCTTGGTGATTACAGTAACGACTTGAAATAGCACATAATGACAGGCGTAGTGGAACAACATGCAGGAGGAAAATACCTGGAGGGGGCAGAAATCTTTCCGGGGAGTACTATTGATGACATCACACCACCAATGTTTTTTTTATGGCCATCTTTATTATTTGTCATTGGCGTGGACTCAAGGAGGGAGGTGGTAAATAATCCAGGTGTGTAAATGTCCAGGAGCTCATGTTTTTTCAATCACATTTAAAAGAGTGACCTCTCAGGTGTGCATGTTCATTTGTGTCCAGTCACAAACAGGTATCTATGCCGTAATTCATGGTAAAAGTGTGTGTGTGTATAAAGAGTCTGGGTCTGAGCCGTTCTTTGCGTGAGTGTCTATAATTGGCAGCAGAGCGAGAATCTGTGAGCTGACATCTGTAGTTGATTTTTGGTGATAATAAATCAGGTTTCATTCTCTGCTTCCACACTGCTCTCACTCTCTCTTGTCTGTGTTGCTCCATGTATCACACACGCTCTCTTTCTTCCTCTTTCTCCATCTCATTTCCTCAAGCCTGTGGAAACCCAAGGACTAGCTGAGCAGATTTCCTGCAAAACTTTGGACTCAGTCACACTTTTTGGGTGGCCACACAAGACGAGTTGTGAAGCGCCTTCCTGGCCAAAGCAGCGCTGGGAGAAAAGAAAAGGAGTGTAAAAAGGAGAAATCTGCACTGTGATTGTCTGCGAGGCAAGGTAGATGAAGACAACAAGGTGTGAACAGGCTGCAGCTGAGGCGGTCTGGCAAAATCTAAAAGTCTCTGTGAGGAAGCCTTTTTTTGCTGACTGCACTCATCTCTACCATAGATGACTGAGCTAATAGCAAAGGTTTGCCACTCAGCCATTTCTCTCCACATCAATTTCCTGTGAAGCCACAGCCAGGACAGCAGATTCAGGACTCTATGACTGCTGTTTATATTATCCCCTTGAGTCGGACAGAGTGAAAAAATAAGGGAAAAACCTTTTGGAGGTCACTGGGGTTCTGAAGGTTACTGTCAGTACAATAGAATTTTCCATTAAATTCCACTGAAGATTACAGAATAAGTACACTGTAACATAATATGTATTTCAGAGATTACTGAGGGTCAACAATGTAAACATGTTATGATTACTGTGTTTTTCATTACACTAAGTTTAAATCAAACAATTTCAGATTATGTTTACTCACAATGTTTGTCATATTCAACTTCATTACTAAAAAATGGAACATATCATGGTTGCTGAAGGAAAAAAGGCGTACCTGATCCCAAATACTGCCCCTGCTTGGATATACAACACACTGCCTTTTTAAAAACCTTAAAACTGTACTAGAATTATCATTCAGTTTTGTTAGTCTAATAAGGGAAGAAAAAAAGCCAAGTGAAGGACACTTATAGACAACAGGAAGGATTATATGATTAAAAAAAAAATTAAACACACAGAGATAACCTCTTCTAAGAGAAAAACAATGTTGCACACGTGTAATCACAAATCAGGGACTGTGTAATGAATATGGATGAATCTGCAGTTGTGTTTGTATCTTCAAAATGCGCCTATATAAATGTAAAACAGTGCAGAGAGCTCGGGATTTTGAAAAGAAGGTCTTGGAAATTCACAACACCAATACAGCATTCCTTCAGCAGACTAAAACCACAAACTCTTCTTGGATTGTTTCCATTAAAGCAATTTTACACATGCAACTTCCTTCCTCAGAGTAGCCAAGGCTAGACAGGTGAAATGATCAAGCTTTAAACCTGGCTGACCTTTTTCTGGCAGGACTAAAAAAAAAAAAAAAAAAAGTGTTTCAATAAACAGATGGCAGATGGAATAAAATGTCCTTCCTCTTTGGTTAAAACTTCAAACAGAAAGGGAAGAGCGCTGCTTATAAATTGGAATATTTGAAGCTGGGAAAATATTTGCCAGAAAAACTAAGCTTTCAACAATCAGTGAAGTCAGTTTGAGATGGCCGTGCCCACAGCCATACAGAGGTTGTTGCATTTACACACTTACAAACACCATTACCATATATTCACTCACTCTGAGTTACAGAGAACACGTTTAGTCTACATTGTTATTTCTTTGTATAAATTCTTTCTCTTAATGACAAGGATGGGGGCGGAGCATATCTTTATGCTGAAGCCCATCCTACAGACTGGACCAAGAGCTCTTATATTACGAGGGGATTGGGGGGGGGGGGGTCAGGGTTTCATTGTGTTAGTTTAAGTTGCTGTGGAGATATTTTCCCCCAGTGTGTTATATGTGATCTGATCAACCACTATATATGTTGCCTTAGCATCTCATTCTGATGTACATCACCTGATTAACCCCAAATGGGAGCCCAGTCAATCTTCAGAAGGATCCCTGCACAAATCCTGTTCAGTGTTTTTACAATATGTACAACAGATTCTTGCTGAGAGTCTTTCTACAAGGGCCAATCTAAATTTGTACACACAGTCATATTTTCTTCACAACCAAAAAGCAGCATCCTTCCCTCCAGCAATTGTAAACATTGGGTCTCGGCCTGTCAACACTGTTGTGTGTTTAGACATCTGCTCCAACCGCAACTTTGCACTGATCGTCAGTATCATGTGGCGGTCCACCGGGGTTACATCCGCTCTCCCAAATACATGTTGTCTATTACCACATTTGGATCTAATTCCAAGAGTGTTTAGTGGTTGCGGTGGTGAAAGACCTATCCTCTTGTGTTGTTATGAAATTTGTAAGAGATGGTTAGCATCAGATCGTGTGGTGCAGGGTTACAGAATCAGTCCTGTGTGCTCTGAATGGTAAAAGGATAAAAGTTGGCCTGTCAGGAATCCATGTAATGTATCATCACATATCATGCACTGGAGCCGTAAATTATTGTGATCGACAGTGCTGTTCCTCTGAATTCCACCAAAGTAAACTCTTCTTCGCAAAACTGCTAAAGTCTTCGGTATATAATAGCTTCCAGATTTTTTTGCAATTCATATCCCATATCTTTATTTCAGTGTTTATTTGTTGCCAAATTACCAAAAGTAACTTCTTAAACGCAGTACTTCCACCATGGGGTTGTACCGTCATCAAAACATACTTACTTTACACATTGCACTCTACAACAACGTAATATTGGTGTCCAATCACTGCATTATGGATGACATGCTCATACACACAGCGCTGTTCTGCCCTGCTTGCTCTGACACTTTACATAGATTGTATCTTCTCCCCATTTGTCCCTAGTTATTACTTCTTAGGAGTGCAACGGTGGAACAACCCCTGCAGATTTGGAGTAATGGGGGGGTGAACACTCCACCTTGCGTGAAAGAGTCTACTGTTGTGTTTGCTTCATTAACAAAAGTATGAATTATTCAGGGGAAAGAGAAATTCTGAATATGTTTGATCTACAGCTATGTGATGACCAAACCGGACAAACTGACATCTATGCTGCTCTGTAACTGAACATGGTATTGATTAACACACATAGAGTACAGCAAAATTACAAGCTGGTCCACAAACAACAAGGGCTTTTTAAATTTCACATAAGAAGAGAAATATATGGTCTGGTCCAAAGTACTATTAAAGTATATGGAGCATTACCCATACTGCACATAAGGGCCAGGCCACAGTTTTACTGCAGGTTTACAGCGCGCTGGTGGAGTAACTGCAGCTTGTTTTAAGGTGGAAGATGGGAAAAGAGAGGGGAATGGAACATGTGTGAGGGCCCATTAGGACCAGGTCTATTGCAGAAGTTACATAAGGTAGTGTTCTCAAAGGATAACAGACCATAATTTCAAGTTTTTTGTAAAGCGTTCCTTATTTTTCTAACAGTGATCTGTCACTAAATCAAAGCAGCAGATTCATATATGAAGGCTGCAATTGGTGATAAAAAAAAAGATCACAACTTAAGGTTCTCCACCTCTGAGGGTCAAATGAAATCACACCTTTGTCGAACAGCTCAGTTGTTATAGCTAGTCAACAAGGCCAACTAGCCCCACACACTTAAAGTCTCAGCAAGCTACTTAAGCAATACGGCACTTTATTCATGTGACACTTTTTTGCCTCATCATGCACCAACCATACCATTATTAGCAGATCTTACAGAGCTGTAAGCAGTCCAAGAAATGCCTGAGCCAGCACTAACATAAAACACTAAACTTCTGGTCTACCTCCCAGAGATGTCACACCAATCATTAATCTGAGCTGACATGATACAAAATAAGTGTTATTATTCTTAACTATTGTCGGAGTAATTGTGGTATTTATACTTAGTGTTAATTGTTAAGTGCAATGATTTTTTAATGTTAGTTTCAAAGAAATAATGAACATCCTGAGACAAAACAGCTAATTTAATCGTGAAAGACAGTAGTTTAAATGTTGAATTACCTTCAAGTCCTAATCTTCAATAACCCACTTTTGACTTTTCTAATCATTCGTTTTGTCATATATCAATTTATGTAGATATTTTACTATGAGATGCTGTGTAGCCAACCCAAGCACTTATTATCTATGACAGAGATAAGATAGTATGCTAAATTTGGTATTAACAAGGTCAAGGGTGTTGAGCAGGGTTGAACTTCTGAGAAAACTAACAAGCTAACATGTCTGAAAAAAAAAAAAAAAAACCTCTGAAAAGACTTAAAACTGAGTACAATTTATTCAACACAGCTAAGCATAATATTCAAGAGTCTGCAGGTAAACACCCCCGTTTGGTTAGCTAGGTGTGGCTAATACTAGCAGAGCTAGCATCACCAGCTTTCAGTTTTCTCTGCAAGTTAGGGATATCATAGACTGTATATACTATGGACAACTTGGCTCCACCTTCCATCATTTTACAAATTTGAAGCCGAATTGCTCTCAATATTTCCGGGGTTTACTCCACTTCCTGGAACCACCACTTGCGCAGTAGCTTTGTACGCATCCCACCACTTGCAGTAGCAATGTAGACATTCGGCAGGAGAGTCGCTGAGAGTCACTGTGATGACACTCAGCTCAAACAGTATATCCCTGGGTGGGCTACGCAATTTTGTATGCCCATAGGCTGTATAAAGTGTCAATCATAGAAAACATGAACCTCCTAATAACTTTTGAAACTGGACAGGACAGAAAAAAGAGAAAGAGGACTTGAGCACAAAGCAGTCTTACAATAACTACATGTCAACGTCACAAGCGGGGAGGAGAAAAATTTATATTCTGTGTAATAAATTTCTAAAGTTTGTCCACAGCTCCATAAGCTTTGCTGGCGGAGGCGGGATTTATGACCTATACTGCAGCCCGCCAACAGAGGGTGCTGTTCTCACAGTGGCTTTACTCTGCAAGGAGGCAGATGGTGTCCATTCTATACACAGTCTATGGTTGACATCCACTCACCTGGAATGGTCAGACAACCATGTCTCCATTTCCTAGATCACAATAATGCTTAATTGCAAACCACAAACCAACATGCCAACCATGCTTGTTTACATCCAGAAAGTAATGTATCACACCAATATGGCCGTCACTGCCAACCACCAAAGCGATGGCCTTGACAGATGACAGGTGGTTTTGCTACATAGACACCACACAAGACCAGTATCTCAGATCCTGGGGATAAAAATGCCGATAACTTGTTTAACCAACTGATTATTCTGGTGCCAACTAGCAAGGGTGACAAGGCTTAATTGTTCTGTAATTGTCCTTGCCAATTATCAGCAAAAAAAAAAAAATCAGAATGGCAGGACAGAATGGAAAAAGAAATATTGACAACAAAGATGACATACTAGGTTGAACTGATTAACAGTAACATCAAAGTTGCAAAGTTGAGTTGAGGTAGTTGGGCTCATGACGTTTCTATGCATTTGGTATAAAAATGGTCTTCGGACACTCAGATGCCACGTCTCGAATCATTTCCCTCAGTTGTGTAGATGTTGCATTTCTAGAAAGTGCATCTAATGGAAGTTGATTAGACATATCATTCAGGTTTTATTCCTGAGCCTTTTTGAGGATTCTACTTAAAGGTTAAGCATATTAGGCTGCATGTAACAGTAACCAGTTAAATGCCAGACAGATGTTTTCTAAGTTGATTCACACATATGAAAGTGGACTCAGTGTCAAGCCCCCTGTATTGTTCTAGAGTAAAACTCACTGGTCATACTATAAGTACTCATTTAATCTCTCTTATAGCAATAGATCTCAGATAACCTGAGTGACTTGGAAAACAATACCTGTTAAAAGCCTTTTGATATCTCTACAATGCAGGTCTTGTAGCATAATCACACAATTGAGGTTGTTAATGTATACAGAACTAAATCAATACTCGAGGCTAGTGTGGGGATCAATTCCCTGAGGGGGCGGTTTGCCATTGAACATGACACCAAGGGACGAGCGTGCCTAATCCATGTTTGAACTTTAAGTAAGCATGAGCCTGCCTCTTCTTTACATGACCACTCCATTCCAACAGAGCCCTCCAAGGCAGGGTAAAAGACAAGGTTACTCATTGATCATTTGCATGAGTCAGTGACCATGTGTGAGATAGGGACTGGACCAGCCTTTAGTCTACTTCCACTCATTCACTCAGCATCTTCCAGCTCCCTGAGAAAAGCTCATTTTGACTCTCATAGTTCCAGGTGTTTTGGTCATTAGGGCCTCTAACTATTAGAAGCACCATGGTGCTTGCTTAACGGTTATAAGGCCAACCGTTGCGCTCAGATCACACCTCCACAGCTGTAAAGAGCGGCAGGGAGGGGTGGCAGCCGGGGAGGCATGCGCGAGGGGGGACCAGGCCAAAACACCCGCTTTGTTCTCTGGGGGCTCTGGTTACCCCCAGCCCTACCCACAGCCTGAGTGACATTCAATACTGCAACTGTAAATTTTACATTAAGCGTGTGAAATCACAGATGCACATGTCACAGCAGTGCCATAAAGTGAATTTACTTAGCTCGATGTAAGCACGCACCTTGACTCTTTATGTCTCTGTAGGGGGTGGATGGAGGTGGGGATGGCGAACAAAATTACAGCAATTAATTCTTAAAACTTTCTCTAAAAAAGTCAACCATAAGTCGACATGCTCATGGTGCACACCAGGTCCTATTTGCCTTATTAACAAAGGCCTGCCATCATTATATTTTCTTTGGTACTGAATAATAAAGGATAATTGATATTCACTCTTGGCTTACAGCTTGTTAAATGTTTAATGGTCTGTAAATGTGAATAATAACTACGGGTGAAATCTAAGAGAGTGAGAATGACCTTTCCATTACACACAAATACTACAGCAGAAGTGCAAAGTGTAAACACACCAATGAAGTACAGAGAAGAAATAAAAACCTGATACTTTTTGATGTGGAGTTGTAGCCTTGTGTTAAGTACAAACGCTTATTTTAACATTTGACCAACAAGTTAGAAGACTAGACAATGCAAAAGCCTATAAAGTTGATTGGCTATGGTAAAAAGGAAGGACTATCACATCCACAAGTAACACTTTATTTCAGTCAGATATCATTTTAAACATTCACAGACAACTGAGCTGCAAATCTGTGTGCTTACTGGTGACAGAGCCCGAGCCCACCTGTTCTCTCTCAGATCATCCCTCCACTAAAAATACAAAGAGAGGAATCCAGACAAGTCCCAGTCGTAAACAGCAACCAAGAGAGACCCGTACATAATGTGCCTCCATACTGGCGTTAAGCAACCATGACTGTGCAAGTGCCTGAATAATGCTTTGATTTCCCCCATTGAAAAATCTCCAGATTTTTAACAGTTTTACATTTAAAAAAATGTTGCCTATATTTTATACATTCATCAGCACAGTATTGAGTCAGCTGCACCCAACCATGTGGTCCACACTCTGAAAAGGGAGACTTAGGGGAAAAAACTGAGGGTCAATCCTATGCAACTTCCCCTATGAATAAAATGCTGAATATGACTAATTCATGAATTCCCTTAACCCCCACAGTTCATTTAGAAATGGCTCAATAAATTCTACAGAGCACCCCATGCCTCCTACCCTGTAAGAATATTCCCCTCCTTTAGGGAGTGGGAGGGAGGCAACATTAAGACCGGTGGCTTGTAAAGTGAGCTGGGAAGTTTAATTGATCTAAACGAATTTAATGTGGCGTAGTGAATTGCGGCAGACAGCATGGATTTATATTGCAACCCTGCAGAAACGAACATAATATTGCCCGGGTTTTACAGCAGAAGAGGGATTTTTTTAATTGCAGCTACAAAAATGATTGACTTTGTGTTGAGTAAAACTGCAGTTCAATAACAGCCCTGAATGCTCATTTGCCCACTCTAGTGTAAAAAGTTTTGGAAAGACAAAGACAAAGTATTTCAGATTTAAAAACCTTAGAAAGGCCTGTTTGTAAGAATTAATTAAAACCATCCGACTAAGTAAAGTTTTTTTTTTTTTTCTTTGACACTGACCCATTTCACACATCACAAAGCAATATCCACGCCTGAGCTGTATCATTTTAAACTAAGCTCCAGCTCTCCCAAGTGTTAAGTCCATCCTGCATGGACCTCTATGAAAGCACAGAGAACTCTGCAATGTGTTAGAGATTTTGAATGTAAAACCAAGATTACCACACAGCCACGGGCAGAGGGATTCAGCCCAATCCCCACAGGATGTGTAGCGGCCAAGTCAAACAAGAGAGCAGATATTTACCAATATGTTCTGGATACTTGGGCCACACATGTATATGGAGACACACACAACAAATAACAGATGGACAATAAAATGACATGATTCCTCTTATTCTGACTTTATATCTACAGAATGTAGCACAATGCATGATGTTGTGTGAAAAGTTAATTCAAAGTGCCTTTGAGTGGTGAATTCAGCTGAACATAAGGCAGACAGATGAAGTCTTTGGTCTGCTTAGATAGACTGTTCTCCAACAAGTGCACAGCTAAGAAGATGGGACTCAAAATGCACAGTTAATGTTGTGTTTGGTGATTTTGGTGAATGCTTTTTAAACTTTTCTTGTCCACGAGGAATGATAACCGTCCTGCAGCTTAGAAATGTACGCAGAGGTCAGACTATACAATTTTACAAAATCAAAACTCAAACCTCAGCAGATGTACTGTGTAGAGACCCAGCATCCCTGGAAACCATTGTTTTATCTTGTCTAGTGTGTCATAGAGAATGATGATTGAGGCCAAATCTGGGATGTCTCACAACCTCTTTGCAGAAAGACTAGTATGTAAGATTAACTCTGCCCTCTACAACTTAGTTTCTTGTCACATCTCTGTATGTGCAAAACCCTCTGATGTTGATGAGATTTACTAGACACACTCCAGCAAGCCCACAGGCAGTTATAAGGATTTCCTTGTCCAGCCCCTCTTCTTTCTAATACCACCAAATTGGTTGTGATGATTGGTCCATTACTATTGTGTCTGTCACGTCTGTCAGTCAAGTCATGTCGCCAATATAAAGCTCTGTGATCACCTATTTTGACACGGTGACCGTTGTTACAGACATACAATCTGGTAGTCTGATCTGGGTATTTGGAGTCAATGATCATGTTACTAGATTTGTTTTGGGAGGGTTCATAAGTTTACCACTTGTAGTGATATCTCTGAAAACAAGTTGACATTATCATGGGAGTAAATGCAGTCATTAAAAAAAAAAAAAAAAAAATCCCAAAAAAAAACATTTCAAACAATCCAGTCCAAATCTCCTTCCCTCAGCTGAAACATTGGCCTTTGTTTTTACCACAAAGTATCTGAGTATTTAGTTCTTTTTGATAGTTATTGGGGACAACCATTAGTCACTAACTTGGATTAACTTGCTCAGTACTGGTCCTGAATTAAAGTATGCTAAAACCATAGACAGTATGGACAATTTGGCTCAGCCTTCCATCATTACACAAATGTGAAGCCAAATTGCTCTCGGTATTTCCAGGATTTTCTCTACTTCCTGGAACTACCACTTGCGCAGTAGCGTTGTACGCATTCAGCTATAGAATCACCAAGACTTGCTGTGATGATTCTCTGCTCAAACAGCGTATTCCCGGGTGAGCTACACAATTTTCGTACGCCCATAGGCTGTATCAAGTGTCAATCATAGAAAACATGAACACCCTTTTAAAAATGGAGCTGCACAGAAAAAAGAGGACATGAGCACAAACCAGTCTTACAGTGACTACATGTCAACATCACAAGCAGGGGGGAGAAAAATGTATACTCTGTGTAATTAATTTCTAAAGTTTGTCCAGAGCTCCATAATGACTGCTGGAGGAGGCGGGATTTATGACCCATACTGCAGCCCATCACCAGAGGGTGCTGTTCTCAAGGTGGCTTTACCCAGTGAGGAGGCAGACGGCGTCCGTTCTATGTATAGTCTGTGGGTAAAAAAAATAACTTCGGATGTTTATGGGATATTTTGCTGAATGTATCTTTCATTTAAATCTTTAAGTCATAATTAATTTGCACCAGATTTTGCTGAAAACCAAGCTCAGTTTTCAGAGGTT